GCCACAAAACACATGAAGAAAAACAAACTCATAAAAACAAAACAAAACAGTGGATTCAATAAAAACTGTGAAAGAAAGAGATGGAAAAAATAATAATACATGTTTTATTATTATGATATCAACATGTAAGTGAATCCTTTTACTCACTACATACAGGTTTACTGGATATTAGATGTAATTCACTGAAATCTGTAAAATAAGACTTTTATTTTAAAAAATTCATCATTTTCAGTAGTTAATCATTTTCTCTTTCAAATAACAGCAGTTTTTTTTGGTTTGTTTTTTACTTTTTCACCTGTTTTTTCACAGTAACATGTAAATTATTTAATTTCTTTCCTGCTGGATTTTAGCTGTAGTTTACCAAAACAGTTAAGAATTGGTTGATCATTTTTCAGCACTTTTCTCCTTTCAAAAACAGCAAATATCTGTAATTACAAAAAACAAAAAGGTATTTCAACCTTTTTTAAAAATATAGCAACAACATGTGAGTTAATATTTTTTTCAATACTTTAGTCGATATTTTCATCTCAATATCTTCAATATAAACAGTTTTACAACAAAAACCTTTTATTTATTGTATAATATATATAGTTTTCCTTAAAATGTCTGTTTAATGCTTCTTTTTTTGCTAATTTAAAACAATGTAAAAAATGGTGTAAATTTAAATAAATATCAAAACTTGATCAAAAATAAGGAATGTGGATGTTATTTTTAGTTCTGTTCTGCTTTTCACGGTTAACGTGTGAATCATGGCTTTTTTTTTCTCAGATCTTTACTAGATATTATGTGCAATTTAACAAAACAGGTCAAATCTGTAAATTAATAGTAAACTGGATTCTTTTTACTTGTTCCAGTGAATTAATTCAGGAGCCTGAATTCATTCTCTCTGGGATGAATTCAATCAGCGGCTGGTTTCATAACGACCTCGTTACTGCGTTCAGAGAAAACCCTCGTCCTGTTTGAACAAATACGGATCAGCCGTGACGCAGACGACCTTCTATTGTTCCTGAGAAGCACAATGAGACGCTGGAGGCCTCGCGGAGCTCAGCGCCGTCTGGCTTCCCGGACAAAAGAGAAAAAGGTTGATGTGGAAGATGTGATGCGGAGAGCAAACAGCCCACATCTGCTGCTGCTGCTCGTAAACTCAGTGAGGCAGGAGGACGTTTGTTCTGAGCTTCTCAATGAAACCTGATATCTGGTTTAATAAAGATACGCGACACATTAAATATTACATTTCAAACTGCTGCTGGATGTGATGAAAAACAAACAGCAGGAGGTGATAATCCACTTCCAACATGTTCATTGTTATATTTATTATACTAGAGTCAGTCCAACTCAGATCGTCTCATTTTTACATCGATTTCTGCTCAACAATCTGTGATGTGCTGGAAATTTTTATAGCATAAAATATAAATAATAAGTTATTTAAGTTTAATGAAAATGCAGAAAATGTTCATGTTAAAAGGTGTTTTTTATGTAAAGCGGTCAAAATACACAAAAATGCTTTAAAAAAAAAAGAAAAAAAAAGATAGCTGTAGAAGCTGTAATTTTTTTTAAATAAAGAGATTGTTAAAATTATTTTGCAAATTTATCAGAATTTCTCAATTTTTTCTTTTTTAAAAAAAATGTATTAAGTGAAACACATTAAAATTTGAATCATATTTCTGATTTTTATTTCTTGTTTTTTTTAAAAATAATATTGTGACTTGTGGCTCCATCTGCTTCAGTAAAATGTCCCTGTAGTTGACTTTTTGTGTTTTAGATGATTTTATTATTAATATTTCAGCTCTTATGATAAACTTTATTTCTTTTATGAACTGTTTGGACTTTGTGGGAAAACACCAGCACCAGCCATAAAACTCTGTCTAAACACATTATTGCTGCATTTAGATGATTTTTTACTTTAAAGGCAGAATTACACACATTTCATCTCATCATTAGATCATCAACGCGTTCGTCACGTTAAGAAAAGTTATCAGGATTCAGTAAAGTTCAGTCTTAATCTGTTTTTTAAACTTTGTTGATGTTACTTTGTGCTCTCAGAAAACTAACGATAATTGGGACATAATTAAAGTATCAGGTATTCGTTAAACCTTCTTTATTCTGTATCTGTGTGTTTATGGATCAGGAGCTTTGTTGCTCCGTCTGACCTCCTCCGTCCACCTGCCGACTCCATCACAATGAAGCGTCACCTAGCAACACATTCGGCATCCAGGGGAGACGCCCGGTAACCATGATGATGATGATGATGATGGTGGAGCTTCTTTCTTCTCAGATCTGTGTTTATTCACCACATTCACAAAGACTTTGTTCCACCGGCGGCTGTTTGCTCTCATTAATAGGTCATTTATTTTTATTATTATTTATCATATTTACATTATTCTGGTAAATTTATGTGATGAATTAAACAGCAGGGGGTTTAATTTGCATTGTTAAAAGAAAATCTAGAATTTTATAGATTTTTTAAAGTTTTTATTTTACAGGTTTTTAGTTTATTTCACAAAATTGATGATAAAATTATAACAAAAAATAGAAATGCGTGAAAATGTCAGCATCAAGTATTTAGAAATTCAAATTATTCAATTCAGGTTGTAAATATATTTCTAAAATTAAATGTTTGTGACAGTTAACAGAAAAAAACGTGTTTATTCGACGCATTTACACGATTTAGTTATGAAATGAGAGACACTTTTTTATATTTACAGAAGCTATTAAAAATAAAATGCTGAGAGAATGTTTTCATCACTGCACGATTTCTGTCTGTCACAGTTTCTATCATTATATAAAACATTTATCATTAAAGTTGTTTAATTATTTACATATTTTAAACGTCATTTCTTTGCTTTTATTAAATGTCTTTTATTAAATATTAAAAAGCCAAACAACACACATGATGTGTTGTTTGAAATCAAAGCCTGAAAATGTCTTTTATTATTTAAAATTACTGTTTTAATGAGATAATTATGATTTTCTCTTATTTCTCAGTGTTTTTCTTTCAGATGCTGAAATCTGACGTTTTGATTTGTTCAATTTAAAGACTCCTCCTCCTCCTCCTCCTCCTCCTCCTCCTCACCTGGGCTCCGTGAACGCGCCTCCGCCCTGACGACCGCCGGAGGTGCGTTCAGGTGCAGCCGTCGTCATCTGCCTCAGCGGTGACGTCACCCGCCGGCCCCGCCCCCCCTCCCTCGTCCTATAAACGGGTCGCCGCAGCGGAGAGGAACCGGAGCGACACCGGAGACACCGGAGAGGACGGAGGAGACCCCGAGAGCTCTCCAGAAATACCGACAGGCGGCCGAGGATGCGCCGGTAATCCGCGCCGGGAGGAGAGAGGACGCCGCCGCCGCAGCCGCAGAGAGATCCAGTCCGCTTGGTTCTGTTCCTGGAGAGCTTCGGTCCAGACATGATCGGAAGAGGACTGATGGTGCTCACAGCGCTGAGCAGCTGCGGTAAGAGGAGCTGGAAGTTCTCAGCAGGCAGGACAGAAAAAAGAGAAGCTGCAGTCAGAGAATCAGCACCACGGACAGAGACAGAGAGGTTCTGGTCCAGAACCAGGCTCAGGTTCAGGTCCAGCAACATGAACGTTTGTCTTTTGTTCTTTCTCTGCAGTTCTGTCATTGCCAGTGACTCCCAGTCAGCTGGAGAATGAAGACGTGAAGGTAAAGAAACCAAGTCAGAGCTCAGGCCGTTTGTTTGTTTGTTTGTTTGTTTGTTTGTTTGTTCTTCCAGAAATATGACAGAATAATGAACAATCTGATGCTTTAATCAGCAAAAAGAAAGAAAAGAAAGAGAGCTGCAGGCTTCTGCTCACAGCAGAGCCTGAATGTAGGAAGATCAGGAACGTTCTTCTGGACAGCCTGAGTTTTATTTTTATTTATTTAAATAAGCAAAATTTTCCCTTTTTTTTCTTCAATATGGTGTCACACATCGCTACCTTTAAACATTTATATTTGCAATCTTACAATTTCCAAAATGCCACTTTATTATTATTTTTTTTTATTATTATTATTATTATTTCATTTTATTTTATTTTATTTTTATTGGCATTATTAAATATGAATCAGCTCCTTGTTGCTCATAAGGATTAAAGGCACATCGTTGTTTTGGTATAAATATATCAGCAGTTCATATTTTCTGCATTTTAAAGCAGAAAATGTTCCGATTCAAGAAACAAAAGAATTAAGAAAAGAAAATGCTGCTTATCTTATCATTTATTTATTGTAGGAAAATGTATGTTTTTTTTGTTTGTTTGTTTTTTTGTCTGACAGATTTCTCAGTTTCAGTAAATTATAAATAATATTTAGTAAAATCACAGCAGGCCAAATCTATAATAATGTCTGTATCAGAAATGCAAATTGCTGTTTTTTAAATTTTTTTGTTCTTTACTACATTTTAATGTAAAATGAACGGATTTTACTGTATTTAGTTCAACAAAAAATAATATTATTTTACAGATATTTGCTGGTATTCAAAAATAAGAAAAATTTACTTTTTTTTCTTGCACACTTTACCTGTTTTGTCAGATTATGGATAATAACCAGTCATGTAAAAAATGTAAAATTATATAGTATTTATAGCTGCAGAAGATATCAGTATTTTACAGATCATTTCTGTTATTAATAAAGAAAATTATTAATAAATAATAATAAAGAAAAATATTTTGAAAAAAATGTAAAATTCTGAAAAATGCTGCATAGGGATTGAAGACAGTAAATCATTTTAACGTATATTTTACAGACTTTCCCTTTTTGTTAAATTACAGACAATAGCTAATAAAAACAAACTAAAACCAAAAAAATTAATGTTTACAGGTATTTGCTGTTATATTTATTTATTTATGTATTTATTTATTTATTTATTTAACTGTTTTTAAATGCTGAAATATTCCAGTTTGGTTTGTTTTTTTCTGGCATCCTTGCTGCAAGACTTTTATTTGTGTTTTTTTTTAATTTTCCCTTTTCACAGGATTCTTTTTTTTGTTTATCTTTTTTTTTTTACACTATAATTTTTGTTATTTCTTTACGGGTTTTTAAACATTAAACAAAGCTGGTGGATCTAAATTCTGGATGATAAACGTCAAGGTTGTAATTTATGGTATTTGTCTGTAAATCAGATTTGTAAAGTTTAGAAGAAGAAAATGTTCAGTTCATGTTAATTACAGCAGCGGCTGTTTAAATATGTTACTGAATAAATCCAGTCAGTATTAACCTGTAAACCTCCTGCAGAGAGCCCTAATTAATCCTATTAACTTAGTAATTAACTCACTTAATTCAGAATAAAATGGCAGTATTTTTTACTGCAATCTTACAGAAACCGTCTCTCCTTCTACCAGCTTTTCAGCTCTGAGGCAGCTCACTGTGACTTTGCTGAAATCAATAGATACCAATTTGAGCGTAATGGAGAGCCTCGACCTCCACAGTGTGAAGCTGCAGGATCCATTTCAGGGAGACGGAGTCGCTTCTGGAATCGAATCCAGAGAGAAACAGAAGACAAAGGGCAGATGTGAGCGGAGGACGGAGCAGGGAGTTGTGAAAATTAAATAAGCGAGTGGTTCAGAGGTCTGGCAGGCAGAGGAACGGTCTGATTGGCTCGACACCGAAGCCTGGAATGATTTCCATCTGAAGGGTCTTTGAATGAGAATCATTTAGATGTGATGAGTATTCCCGTCACATCCTTCTGACAGCAGCAGCTTCACAGGCTGATGGTTAAAACTCTTTACTTTGCAGCTCTCTGAGCTCCGTTCTGTGTCTGCAGGTGATGAAATGCATCGTGGAGGCGCTGGCGGACGTTCTGTCGAGGCAGCAGCACGTTCCCGTCAGTCAGGACTGTCTGGAAACTCTGAAGACAGGTAAAAGAAAGAAAAACACTACTGGAAGAATGAAATAGCATCATGTATGTACACAGTAAATAACACTGGAGGAGAGGAGGCTGAGAAATAATAAAATAAAATAAAAATCTGTCATTTTATTTAGAAAAAGAAAAAATAAATTATTTTTTTATTTTAGGTCACAAAAAACATCAATTAAATTACAAAAATGTATTCAGTTCATTAAAATATCAAAACACAAACATTCCTCTTATGTTCCATAAACATTAAAAACTAATCGCAAAAAACCTGAAATCTTCCATCTCCATGTTTATCCAAATAAACCTGAATCAGAGAAAACACTTCAAATATTTCTGTTTCATTTAAAAGGCGAAACTATTTCATTAAAATTGTGAATATTTTCCTACAATTAGATGAAATTAGTGAAAATTAACAGAAAAAGAAGCATCAGTTCTGTAGTTTTATACAGATTTAAACAGTTAAAGCTAAAAAAAAAATCTTGTGTAATTTTTTTACACATAATATTGAATAATTCTGTTTTCTAAAAGTAAAACATCCATTTATATGATCTATATGAATGTGTTGCTGTTACAGTTCTGATCATTCTAGATATGTCGTTATATTTATTGTTTTTTAATGAATTTATGTTTTTTTACACGTGTAAATATTCGTCATTAAACCTCCAAATCTTAAAACAATGACACAAGATCTGATGCAGATTTAACATCAGAGACTGTTTTAATTATTTTTTCCACTGAAGCTTTTTATTCTGCTTGATGAAGTGACCCATTAGTTTCTGGTCTGTCTCCACTGAAGCAGAACATTTTATTGCACTTTAAACATCGTGTCAGTAGAGCTGCAGGTCAAAATGTATAAACAGATCTGAGGGTTTGCTGCAAAATGAAGTCCCTGAGGTGCACACAGCATCCCATAATAAGCTGGTTTCCATCACTAAACATCTAACATCTGACTGTTGTTGTGCAAAATCCAGCCACAGTAAAGGAGTTCTGTTCTCTGATCTCTGATGATTCTGTTTCAGCAGCAAATTAAAGAATCAACACATTAACGTGTGTTTGATGCAGCTGTTGGGTTTAGACGACCAGAGTTGGTCCCCACACATATAAAATGTTATTTAAATTCAACACATGATGTTGGATTCTTTCTTTTTTAAAATTAATTTGAACAGCTTGTGGTTTTTGAACCTTCAGCGTCGTCTCAGATCACGTTCGTCGCTGTTATCATGTTTATATCACCAGCTGTCCCCGAGGTCGACCCGATAAACACTGATTTTATTTAATTATACGGCATTAATTGGTTTTATTTTTACCCCCTTACATCATCTCATGACTGTCCTTTAATGCAGTCGTTTAAAATCTGATGTTTTTTCTGCTTTTTCTGATAAAATCGTGTCACTTTTGACTATTTTTTAAAAAGAAGAACGTCTGTCTGTGAGTTCTGGAGTTCAGATGGTTCACGTTTATCGCTCACATGACCGGATCACTGATCCAGTTCTGGTCTCTGTGCTCCCTCAACCTGAAATAAGAAACGTATTTAACCTTTGGGGCAGTTCAGGTGATCAGTTTAATCCTTAACGTCCAGCTGCTCTCGCTGTCGTTTTATTTTTGTGTTTCTGCTGCAGGAAATATTTCACTTTTTTACTTCACTGCTTTTATTTGACAGATTTTTAAAGATGTAAATTTGACCCGAGCTTTTAAAATCCAACGAGGTCACAGAACGAAGCTTCACGTTCCTCTGATGGTTTCTCCATCTAAAAATCTCACAGTTCAATAAATTATAATTCAAACTGTGTGATATTAAAGCAAAAATCAGTTTGATTGGATTTGGATTCTTTCTCAGTTTGGAGCCTCACGTTTATCTGCTTAAAACTGGATTTAAAGTCGTTTAAACCTGCAGCAGCTTCACTGCTAACGAGCTGATGAAATGACCAACACCAGGACTTCTGCTGCAAAGCTTCACTCTTCTGCTGCAAAGCTTCACTCTTCTGCTTCGTGCTTCTGCTTCAGTGGATTTTCTAGAATGAATCTGACTTCAGTGCAAAGAGACAGTAAGACGAGTAGAAACCAGCGTGATGGAAAGAAGGTCACAGAGTGCAGGAACGAATCACCTGAGAGCGTGCAGTGATGTCATTAAAGCACCTGAAATGCACAAACGGATGATAAGCAGCTGTGTGTGGACGTGATGCAGGACGCAGGAGGCCACGTGTGACGGAGGGCTTTACTTTTCACTAAATGCTTCTTCTACAAAAACAAGAACAAACGTTTCAGCAGCTACACGTCCTGCTGCCGCTTCGCCACCAGTGTCCTGGAGTTAATGGGCTGATGCAGGAGCTGCTGCTGCTGCTGCAGATACAAACAGGGTCAGCGCTCAGGTACATCCAGCTGCCTTCATGCCGTCCTTGTGAAACAGAAGAGAGAAAAAAATCAATGTGAGCATTACTCATGGAGCTACTGAGAGAGGAAACTGTACACCACCGGAGGGACGGAGGAAGATCACAGAATGATAGAAGAGTACAGTGAAGTGTGCTGCTGCTGTTTGTGGGTCAGCAGAAAGTCCAGCAGCTCGTACTGCTGCGTCGGTTCACTGGGGGAGCCGCTCAGAGCCACATGATTAATTGTCCTCCTGCATTGAAAGCAGTAAATTTCAGGGCAATTAACTCTGATGAAGCAAATCGCTGAATCCGGTGGAACACGGTGGAGGGGAATGACACACACCTGTGCTCCAGCCCCTCTGCAGGGTTTAAACTCCTGCTTCTGTCTGTGTTCCTCTGCAGACGACCGGCTGGTCACCATCCTCCGGCACCACAGCTTCCTGAAGGAGCTGCAGGAGATCGCCGTCCAGGGTGAGTGGTGCGTCGCCGGCGTTTGTTCTGAGTCCTGATCATGTTTCTGTGCACCTGAAGACGAGTTTGTGGTTTCAGGTGACCAGGAGAGAGCTCAGCAGCAGAGAGACGCCGACACGCCGACGCCGACCCAAAGTGTGCCGACCACAGACGAAGCCGCCGGTGAGTTTCTGAGCTGTTTGTTCCTCATCACGGTTCAACCAGGAATCAAGTCTCTGAGCTGTCAGAATGATGCATTGCTTCCATTATTAGCCATTATGTACGGTCAGCAGAGTCCAGCTGGTGGAGGAAAGTAAAAGTGCAGCGGCAGAGTTAAACCTCTGACCTCCAGGAGTTTCTGTTTTCACCCACTGAGGGTTCATTTAAAGTCCTGCAACCAATCAGGGCTTCAAGGAGAGAGGGAGGAGAAAGAAGAATGACTCAGCACGTGTCCACATGAGCTGCCTCTAAAGATGTTCCACCATCAGCAGTAGAAAGATGTTCCACCATCAGTAGAAAGATGTTCCATCATCAGTAGAAAGATGTTCCACCATCAGCTGGATGTATCTCCACCAACTGGTTCCTCTGGTCTCTGGTTCTGATCCGTGCTGCATCTATTTATTGATCCAGGAGGTTTTTATTTTCTTGCCTGCAGTTCACCTGAAACCTCTCATATTTAGTCACATGATCTTTTTGTTGCAGCAGAACTTTTGAATGATGAATTAAAAGAATGTGGTGACGTTGATATAAATATCTCCAATTCAAGCTTAGTTTTCGGTTGTTTTTCCTGATTTCTACGATTCAATTAAAAAAAACAGAAAAAAGAACAATTCTGTGACTTCTCAGCTCTTTTTTGTCGCCTGATTTTCCAGCTCAGTCCATCGTGGCTTCAACGTTTAGCTGAGGAGTGCAGAATTTTTCATTTTTTGCAGAATCTGTTTGGTAGTTTTTGGTGATTTTTGGAATAAAACGTAGAATAAAGTGGATTTTGATGAAATGGGAGGATTCTGAGCTCAGGTTTGGTTGTTTTTCTTGATGGAAGCACACATATAGTCCTTTTTAAATCTGACAATAGAAACAGTTTTGCAGATTCTGGCTTTGATAAATTACATATTTTTGTGTTTTTTGTTTAAAAGACAACATGCATTTCAAAGCTGCCAGCTGGTTTTGGGATTCAGAGGATTAAATTCTCAATTCTTATCATTTTGGCCTCTGACTGGAGCCTCTTGGGGGAAAAATCCTGCATGCAGGAAAAAAAATCTGGAGATATAATGACCAGTAGAAAGCCAAACTGTCAGCGATCCAGCTGGAGATACTGCAGAGAGTCTCTTTCTTTTTTTTTTTTTTTTACACTTTCTGGCTGATAAATGGTCCAGCATGTCCAGGTTCTGGTGTTCAGAGGGTTAAGTCTGCTAAATCTTTGCGTGGACAGAACCAGGACACGCATCGCACCTCTAAGTGGGCTCCAGACTCCCCAGTGGCAGAGAAAGCTCGAGCAGAGCAGCGACAGACGCAGAAAAATATCGATTACGGCGCGTTGGCACCGCGTGGCCGCCGGACCGGCCCGGTCCATCAGTCAGGACGCGCACAGATCCACCGGCTGCAGCACAATGATGAACTGCAGCGCCGCCTTTTAACATCACTGCAAAATCAATGGCTTCTAGTAAATTAAATCCCCGCCCTGTTTGCAGATCGATCCATGCTGGAGGCCCTGGGAGGCCCCGGAGAGAGATCCATCCTGTCCCAGCAGAGGGAGACCGGCATGGGGGAGGCTGCAGGAGAGGAGGAGGAGGAGGAGGAGAAGCGAGCCAACTCAGGGGAGGAAGAGCAGAGCAAAGGCGAGCTGATGCTTCTGTCTGTTTGATGCTGAAATGTATTTTTTTTAAAAAGAAGGAGAAAAAAGTGAAGCAGCTTGACATTTTAAGAGCCCAGTAGAATCAGATTTATTTTTTTACTGGTGAAATAAAGGATGACTCAGAAAATTAAAAGCTGCAGCGCAGACTGAAGGCTGAATGCGGGCCTCGTAAATGAGAGCTGTGCTGGCTGATTGATGAAAGGCTTCCATCTACATGATGAGTTTGGGCCTCCCCTCCCGGAGGAACCGGGCCGCTGCACACAAGTCATTTCTTAAACCGAGCTTGTGCGCGCGGCATCGTCTCTGCAATCACGCGCCCATCACGGCCGCATTTAAAACAGCCCGAGACGGAGGTTCGTCTCTGACAATAATGGAAGCCCGGCCAAGTCATCCCATCTCCAGCCACGCCGTTAATTCCCATAAAAGCTCAGCCAGCGCTGCCAGCTGGCGACGGATATTTCATTACACCAAGTGGAATCTTGCTGATGGAGGAGAGGGAGGGTGGAGGAGGTGATGGAGGTGGAGGTGGAGGAGCTTCAATCATAAAAAACTCTGCTTTTTATTCTTCTTTCTCCCAGGTGGTGAACAGAGAGATGCACTCAGAAACAAATCTAAAGAGAAGAGGGTTCATGTAGAAGAAGAAGAAGAAGAGGAGAAGAGGTCTGGTGTTGTCTCACACAAACAAGATGAAGATGAAGAGGAGGAGGAGGAGGAGGTGAAGAGAGGCAGCAGGGAGAACCCGAGGAGGTGGAGCAAGAGGACCAAGGCTTTACAGGTGAAGAGGAAGGAGGTGCAGCAGCAGCATGAGGTGCCTCATCACTCCAAAAAGCTCACAGAGGAAGAGGAGGAGCAGGAGGAAGAGCAGAAGAAGAAGAAAAGAGGAGCAAACCACAGGAGTCCAGAGGAGAAGGAGCTGCAGATGATCGCCCAGAGGCCGCCGGAGGAGGAGGGCAGCGCCAGCAGGAAGTCAGAGGTGGGAGTCAGACTTCTTTAGCTGCTGATCGCTGAAAGGAATGTATTCTGTTTTTTTGTTTGGAAGGAGTCTACTCAGATACTGCTCTCATATCTGTTGAATATGAAACTACAGGCAGAAGACAGCTAGCTTAGCTTAACTTAGCTTAGCATGAAGACTGAAAACACAGGGAATAGCTACGTCTGCTGATGCCCTTTTCCTCCATCATACACACTTCAGGTATTGTAGATTAGCTGCAGTACCTGGCTGCGACCAGAGGAGGCGCTCACGTCTGTGTTGTCAAGCAGAGTGCATTGTGGGAGTTTAGCTAGTAAAGGAGCACTGTGACAGAGACTTCTATGAGACTTACTGACTTCAGAGCAGCTAGTCATTATGAAAGTCATCATATTGACCAGGACAGTGATCCTACATCCTGGTGAAATGCTAGCTTAGCTTAGCATCATGACTGGAAACAGTGGGAGTCTGCCTCTGTCCAAGTAGAGAGGTTCTGAATTAATGTTTCATTATGATTTAATATTCGGTATTTGCTGATACAGATCCCACTTTGAGGGATAATACACACCTTGAGTATTGTAAATTAGCTGTAGTACCTGGTTGTACCACCAGGTGGAGCATCTTAGTGTTTAACGCTGTAGCGACCAGAAGAAGAGGTCACTACTGTGTTGTCAAGCAGAGAGCATTGTGGGAGTTTAGCGAGTAAAGGAGCACTGTGACTTCTATTACTGACCTCAGACCAGCACACTGCTGTGAAGCTACAAAGAATCAGGGACAGGTTTGTGCCAGAATCGATCGCTTCAAAATTCCTGGGAAAGACGGCTTTCCACTGCAGGAACCAGAGGCAGGTAGGAAATAACATAAAGTTCTGCAGAACCGGCCCCTAACTGGCCCGTTTAGCTTTTTGTTTCAGTTGCAGTGTTGGATCCAACAACTTTAACTGCACCAGAACAATTAAAAAATCAGTGGATTCGAATGTTATCAGTGCAGACCCTTCCCCTCCCGTCTCAGACCATCATTTGTTCGCTTTAGTCTTGCTTTGACTTTTGCTTTCACTCACTGTTTCTACTGGAGACTATTCCCATGCATGTGCTCCTGCAGGGATCTGCTCCATCTTCTAGTATCACACATTCTGATCATCGCTCGACAGAAAGTAGCCTCGATGATGATGTAGCTTTGTTCCTCTTTTTAGCCGTAACATCACTTCCCTGCACCGTTAAATGCAGTAATAGGAGCCTACTGAGCTGCTAGTAGGTGGAGGAGACTCATACTGGGTCATGCAATAAGTACGATGTCTGATGATTGAAGCTGTTTAATGGGCTGAGAACATCTGGAACAGGCAAACAAACAGCAGATAGTGGCTGTAGGGAACGATGGAGGCTGGTTATGTATATCTGTAGTGGATTTTATGTTGTTGACGGTGATGTTGGAGAGGAGACGTGATTTAGGACATGAAGAATAAAAATGCCACTTTTTGTCCTCTCTGACTTTAATCAGGTAGCGTTAAGATTCACACAGCAGTTTCCAGGAGTTCCTCCCCAGAACAGGTTCTTTATGTCTGCTGATCGCTGAGCTTCAGAGCTGCTGGTAAAGCTGGACTGAAGCCGGCTGCTGTTCCTCTGTCTTTATGCTAAGCTAAGCTAAACTAGCTTCTTATTCAGATACAGGAGTGATATTCATCTTCTTATCTAACTCTCAGCAAGAAAAGAGAATCAAAGAAAGTTTTCTAAGATGTTAAACTCTCTCATTATGTAATTGTTTTATGCAAGTGCTGCTTTTTTTGGCAGCTCAGAGTCAAAAAACTGAATCTTTCTTGCAGCTTGACTCCTGAGAAGATTCATCCCAAATCTATCTTACTGATAGTGATCAAGAAAAGAAATAATGCAGAACATAATCCCCCTTAAAACTGCAAACTGCAGGATTTAACAGATGATGCTAATTGGTGAGCTTTAGAGCTGCTGGTGGACTTAATTTAAATAAAACATGGCTGCTGTTTCCCCCAATAAGCTAAACTAAGCTAAGCTAAGCTAGCTTCATATTTATGTATAGGAGCTGTGTCCTTCTTCTTGTCAAATTTTCAGCAAGACAAGAGACTTAAAGATGTTAAACTCTCTCATTATGTAATTGTTTTATGCAAATGCTGCTTTTTTGGCAGCTCAGAGTCAAAAAACTGAATCTTTCTTGCAGCTTGACTCCTGAGCAGAAACATCCCATATCCTTATTTAATGTTAGTGGTACATAAAAGAAATAATGCAGAACATAATCCCCCTTAAAACTGCAAACTGCAGGATTTAACAGACGATAAGTTGCTGATTGGTGAGCTGTAGAGCTGCTGGTCTTCCCACTAAGCTAAGCTAAAGTAGCTTCATGTTTATATCTGGGGTAATATTCATCTTCTTAAATTTTTATTAAGAAAGAAAACTAAAGAGAAAACTTAAGATGTTAAACTGTCTAATTATGTAATTGTTTTATGCAAGTACATTTTTTTGGCAACTCAAGGCCAAAGAACTTTAGTATTTTTCAGTTTTACTACGTGAGAACAAACCATCCTTCCTCCAGCTCGTGTCCACAGGAGCTTGTTTACTGTGTGAAAGCTCCAAACTGTTCCTGTCGCTGTCGAGGTGAAGCTGCCAGACGACACCCTGGATGCGATGCCTCCTAACTGCCCTGAGCAGCAGGACTCTGACTGTCTGTGTGTCTTCCTCACGTCGCCTCCTCTCTTTGTTCCTCGCAGGATCCTGAGATCGAAAGTCTGGCGGCCATCGAGTCGGAGCTGGAGAACGTCGCCCAGAAGCTCCACGAGCTGCGGCGAGGCTGAGCTTGGAACAGAAGTGTGACACCGCAGACCTTCTCCTGCCTCCACCGTCCTCCTCCTCCTCCTCCTCCTCCTCCTCCTCCTCCTCCTCCGCTTCACCAGCTGCCTGGTTTCCACACACAGAGCGAATGAAGTGAATGTGCGACAAGGGTTTTATCTTTTTTTTTTTTGCTTTTTCCTGCGGATGCCACGCTGCTGCAGCCTCCCCATCCCTCACATAGAGTAGCATACATTAGACACACTCTGCAGCTCGGCGTGCATACTAACAGCATACAAATGCACAAGTCCTGCGCATTAGAACTCGGAGAACACGACTCCCTCCTGTCTGACAATCACCCCTCTGTTTCTGCAAAAACGTCGGCTTTCTTTTTCAAAAGATTATTTCGTGTGAAAGGTTTGAGGTGAATCCAGGTACAGAATCCCAGCGACAAAGGCGAGGTTGTACAGTTCTAACGGCATGTATACGAGCTCTCTCTCTCTCGAAAAAAAAAAGATTTCCTGTAGATGCTTTCCTGTTGTCATAGAAACCAGTTGACTCTAATCAAGCCAAGGCAATAAGTGAACATTTTTAGCAGATAAGAGGCTGGATTGTAATCTAAACCTGTACTGAATTTATGTAAGAAAATAAACTAATTTATCTGGAAATCAAAGGGTTTTATTTTATTTTTTTTGTAATTTCTTTTAATAGGAACCATTATTCATGTAATGACCTCACTAACAGATTTCTATGTGTGCATCACTTTCATCTCCAATTAAATCCAATCTGGTGAAAAGTGAGTGACTGGAGTGAAGATTCATTCATTCATGTGCTGTTATAGATTTACTCACAGATTCTTTATCATCTGGCTGCAGATTCCACTTGTTTGTGTTGTTTGTGGGCGACGGAATGAATCACCGGCATGAAGCACAATAGATTCACACGGTTCATACCTCGGTGTGTTTTCTGGCACCGGCGTTAACATTCTGTGGCCGTTACTACTAAAAGGAGAAAGATTTGAATCATCCAGTGCAGCAGGAACACAATGTGGGCAGAGGAGGGACTGAAAAAGAAATGCAGAAGAATTCTGCTTTGTTGGGCGGCTCCAGTAAATATAGCTGCTGTGGCTCAGAAAGCTGGAGAGTATCTGCTCGTGCAATCAGGCAGCAACGGATGCAAATGCAGCGAGTCTGTCAAACCCTGGGAGGAATCTCAAACTGCTGATGATGAAACGCACATTATGGGTAAAAATTACAGTTATGGGATGTTGTGCACGTTGATGACAAGCAAAAGATTCAGCTCAAGGTTACAACGATTATATCACATTAATCAGAATCAGCGCTAACAGATTTTTCTACACACATTCTGGATATTTTCTGTTTGTGCTCATAAACTTCTGTTATAGTTTTACATCAGACAGGATTTTAAGGTTGTTTAAATGCACAAACTCAGTTATTATTCTGTATTCTGGGCTGTAAAAAGAGAGAAACGTAGTTTGATGGTGGAAAAGTTGTGAAATATTCATCATGCTGAAATGCAAAGGGCACCAGGTGGCGGCATCAGACAGCCTCAGACCTCCGTCCCAAAGGTGAGTCCTGTCCTGGAGTCATGTACGGAAAACCAAAAGTGCCAAAAAAACAAGCAAGTTTCATTTCAGGTAATACAGAGATTCTACCATGCAAAGCATTTCTGTATGATGATAATAATAAAAAGAACAAAGAAATACTCATAAGTACGGCAGATTCTTCGACACGTAGACGTGTAGACGCTGCACAGAAGCCTTTAAATGTGGAAAACAACAATATTGCACCGTGTTATTCTGTATGTGGAAAGACTACAGGTTGTTTAATCAGTTTTAAAAAAATACAACTATTGCACATATTTTTCTAGACGTACACAAAGCTGAGTGTTTTAAAAAAGTATTCACAATGTGAAGTTCTTCTGTGTGTAGTGACGTTTAGTTTGATCATATGAGCTTTTAGAAAAATTTAAGATTAGAGATTGATTTAAGATAAATTTAAAAGTGCAATAATTTTATTTCTCACCGGGTTCCACACTTATGTTGTGTTTATGAAGGAAACAGAACATCATGGAGCGACTGTTTGTTCTTCACGAAACCAAACACCAGCTTTAAAGTGAATGCATCTTAAAGCTCTTCCATCTTCATCTTGAATTCTTTTTAAATAATATAATTTATGTTGGTTTTTGTTCTCCTTCTGCATCTGGCAGCTTTTTGTTTCGCCCTCTCACTGATCCATCGTCAGTGTCGCTCTTTGTCTTAAAATTTTACGGCTGCTTTACCTTTTAGTCCCATTGACCAAACCATGAAGCTGTAAAATGTGTGTTGTTTTAGCAATTATTATTCGTG